GGAATTTATTTTCTAAATTCTTGTACCTATCCATTTTCTGATATTTCTGTCGTTTTGCAAGATGCAGTTCTTGTCGTTTTCTGCAACAAACTTTTACAGGCCTGTGTTTATTTAATTTAATCCTTATGTAAATCTTTTACTTTATGATTTTTTATTCAAAGTCATTTATCTTTTTGTTGCAGTGCTTCAAATAAATTTCTTCTTCTTATTATTAATATTATTATTTATTGTTAGCGTGTGCGTCTACGGTGTACTGCAATTAGCTCCTGTTGACAGCGCGGCATGCCTCCAACAAGGGTTACAGGTGTGTGTGTGTGTGTGTGTGTGTGTGTGTGTGTGTTTTTTTTTTTTTTTTTTTGTTTGTTTTTTCGTTCTTCCAGCAGAGCTTGACGGATTTGTTTCAGATTATTAGGGTGATTAAGTATTAAGTGATCAGATGATATTGTTTGTATCGGTAGGGATAAAGTGCCCGTCACTTGTGTTAATACTAGTTTTTGACAGGTAAGATTGTTTTGACGCCACTTGGTTCTTGCCATAGATCAAACAATCAATCACGATAAGAAGAGTAAGATCTTTTAGATAAGAATGGCGCCTTTTAAAATTTTGATAAGTTTAGAAAAAAATTCAATCAATAAATCACTACAGGATATTTTATGAAATGGCAGTAGAAACGAATATAGTCCACAAAAATACAATACAATCATACAACCTTACGGAGGCATGGCGTAGTCGTCAGTCTTCCTGCGGCACATGCGGGTTGAAAAACTCACCTAGGTAGATTTTTCGATCTAGACTCAAAAAACATTATTTCATTCAACATTACATAGGTTTTTGGTTATTTTAAACACATAAAAAACCCAAAACATTATTTCTAGCCCATCATACCCCTTCCCCGCCTTAAAATGAAAAACTTTCAATTGATCACTGGTGAGCTTTCGTTTACTGATTTTTTTGAGGGCATTCTTTAACTGTTTATCTTCGTGCACAGTGAAAATTGTTTGGCCCTATGATTCTTTTAAGGAAAGAGCTTTTCTAGACAACTTTTCCCCAATCAGGTGGGCGCCTATTTTCAACCTCAATGCTTAAGTCAACAGCGGGTTTCTAAGAACTATTTGTGTGTGTACGTGTGTATGTAACGAAGACTATATATACAAAGGTTTACCTAGCTGGTTCTATTCAAATGCATGGTAAAGATCCAGTTCACGCGCCAGATTTACAAGATAAATCTTAAACGCATTCTTTTCAGCATTGTGAGTGTGCACAAAGCGGATTTTTAAGTGGGCCTACTTCGTCCATGAGTCAAAAAAATAGGGGAACAGGTGACAATTTTTCAATAATTTAACGCCACTTCGTGGCTGCTAATTAACCAACAGAACACAGATAACAGAATTTCATGCAAAATGAAAGAGTAGATGTGACACAACTTATATATGCTCCCAGGTTTAAGATAACACAGAAAAAACGAAAAAATATGTGAGCTATTTCAGATTTTTTTCTTTCTACGGATACAGTGTGTTTCTTTCCACCATTTTAAAGATAAAAACGAGGCACAACCATATTTTCTCTCATTCATGGACCATTTTACCACGCTGCACCATTTAAAGATAATTAATACCAAACATGACTTTACCCTCCACACCCCTTTCTGGTTCATATGACATAGAGCAAACATATACAATTTCAACACGAGCTCTAAGTGGGCCTAATTCTTTTTTCACCTGCCAACGTAAAATGACGTAGGTTGACACAAAAGGGAGCTTCCTGTGTTGCGTAGACTTTGTTAAAAAACAACATTTAAAATTTTGATTACTACTCTTACAGCGCGTGGTTTACTCACTCTGTCGCGTTCAACACTGGTTTTAATACAGCGTGCGCTATTTTTGCTTGTAGACCGGCAGTGGTGCCTACGGCTTTTGCCTAAAATTATTCATTTTCTGACATTTTAACTGACGAACAATTACGACAAGCACAACAGAGCGTCGAGCTACCATGAATTTCGGAACTCGTAGACCTCTGTTACTTTTGGGTGTTTTTTTCATTGCCAATGTAAGGGTCGTTTTCACTGGTGCTCTCTGTCCCCGTAAATGCACGTGCACTGACGACAACCGGGGACTGAGCGTGAATTGCACCAACATGACTGAGGGTGATCTTCCCGAACTACCGCTCCATACTACGTCTCTCAGAATATCAGGGAGGATCGAAACATTAAGAAATGGAACTTTCAGTGGCCTTCTTGGCCTGAAAGAGCTCGACATGTCGGAATGCAATTTAGAAACAATAGAGCATGGTGCTCTCTTGGAACTAAATGAACTTCAGAACGTGTCATTTCAGAAGAACTCACTCATTGATTTGCCAAGATTCATTGCGCTACTTCCAAATTTGAAGAGAGCCGATTTTCAAATAAACCGTATATCAACGATTGCCAGTACATTTCCAACAAGTTCAAATATGTCATCGTCGCTTATCAAGCTGGACATCGGTTACAACGAAATTTACGATATGGAAGTTCTTTATAAAATACTTTCGAGCTTTGTTAACCTGCAAAAGTTGGTTGCCATAGAAAATTCTTTCGGGTTCACCCATACGAGGCAGATAGATTTTCCATTTCATAAACATTTACAATATCTCGATCTGACATATAATCCATTGTCTAACCAATATCTCAATTTAACGATGTTGACTTCCCTGAACGAATTGTACTTGTGGGGTACGGGCTGTACATTTTACATCCAAAACATGTCCTCACTGGTCAGACTTCATTACAGGAACAACAAGCTCTGTGTACCGGATTCTGATGACGGCAGGTCTTTGTTTGTAGGGCTATCGGGACTGTATGAACTAGATTTGGCGGGTAACGATTTATTTTGCAGAATAATTTGGAGAGGCAAAACACTTCCTAACATTTTCAAATCTTCTTTACCTAATCTGGGAATACTAGTGCTAGCTTCGAACAACATGATCTCACTTCCGGCGAACATGTTTTCCAAGGTACCTCGTTTAGAATATCTGGATCTATCGAGCAATTTTCTGAAAAGTATAGATTCTTCAATAAACGTTTTATATTCACTGGTGTATCTGGATCTTAGTAATAACAGGCTCTTTACTGTCGATGTGGATATGCTACAGCAAAACACCGCACTTCGTTACCTTAACGTCGAGAAAAACAATTTTTTCTGTACCTGCGAAAATAG